GTGAGCCACCACACCTGGCCTGTGGGTTTTGTTTTGTTTTGTTTTGAGATGGAGTCTCACTCTGTCGCTCAGGTTGGAGTGCAGTGGTGCGATCTCAGCTCACTGCAGCCTCTGCCTCCTGGATTCAAACGTTTCTCCTGCCTCAGCCTTCTTGAGTAGCTGGGACTACAGGTACTTGCCACCACGCCCAGCTAATTTTTGTATTTTTAGTAGAGACGGGGTTTTGCCATGTTGGCCAGGTGATCTGCCCGCCTCAGTGATCTGCCTGCCTCAGGTAACCTCAGGTGATCCACCCGCCTCGGCTTCCCAAAGTGCTGGGATTACAGGCGTGAGCCACTGCACCCAGTCTAATTTTAATATTTTTAGTTGAAACGAGATTTCACCATGTTGGCCAGGCTGGTCTTGAACTCCTAGCCTCAAGTGATCTGCCTGTCTCGGCCTCCCAAAGTGCTGGGATTCCAGGCGTGAGCCACCGTGCCCAGCCATGTCCTTCCTTTTTAAGGAAGAATGGCATTCCATTGCATCAATGGAGCACATTCTATTCATCCATCCCTCTACTGATGGATACTTGGTGTGATGGTTAATAGTGTCAACATGATTGGGTTGAAGGATACAAAGTATTGATCCTGGGTTTGTGAGGGTGCTGCCAAAAGAGATTAACATTTGAGTCAGTGGGCTGGGGAAGGCAGCTCCACCCTTAATCTAGTGGGCACAACCTAACCAGTTGCCAGCGAATATAAAGCAGGCAGAAAAAGGTGAAACGGCGAGATGGGCCTAGCCTCCCAGCCTACATCTTTCTCCCATGCTGGATGCTTCCTGCCTTCAAACATCTGACTCCAAGATTTTCAGTTTTGGGACTCAGACTGGCTCTCCTTTCTCCTCAAGCTTGCAGACGGCCTATTGTGGGACCTTGTGATTGTGTAAGTTAATACTTAACCAACTCCCCCTTTATATATATATCCTATTAGTCCCATCCCTCTAGAGAACCCTGACTAATACACTTGGCTTGTTTCCACCTCTGAGCTACTGCAAATGGCACAGTTATGAACATGAGTGTGCAAACATCTATCCATGTTCCTGCTTTCATTTCTTTGGGGATATGCCCGGAAGTGGAATTTCTGGATCACGTGGTAGCTCTCTGTTTAGTGCTTTGAGGAGCCACTGTGCCATTTTTCATAGGCTGCATAATTTTTCCATTCTTACTCCTGACAGGTTCTGGACCCAACGTCCCAGAGACTCAACAGGCAAAGACCTGCCCCACCAGCTCAGCCCCTTTCTCTCCCTTCTGGTTCCCTCTGGGTCACAAAAATGCAAGCAGGGAGGCCACTGTCCCTGGAGCCCCTGGGGCGGCCTTTCTTGACCTAGAGGGCATCTTCCCACAGAGCCACGGGTGTGGGGTCTCCAGGCATTGCCCGCCCCGAACACACGTGAAGCAGGTGAACCATCTAACAGCGATGGGTGCTGGGTCCCAGGACCCCCTCACCCCCGTACCCTTTTTCTTTTCAGGAGAATTCTACCTGCCCCTAGCCCCTCCTGTGTGTAAGGAAGCAGGAGTTCCCACCGTGGCACCAGAAGCAGCGGGCACCCTCTGACGCCTCCCAGGAAGCCCATGCTCTCAGCCTGTTGCCCGCCTTCTCTCACCTTCCCCTCATCCAGCAGAAGCGGGGTCACTCTCCTTTTGGAGGCCAGCAGGCCCCTTGCCCGTTGTACCTGATGCTCAAGCTGTGGTAACACAGCCCCACACAGCGTAAGTGGCTCAAACAGACATTTATCATCTGCAGGACTCTGGGCTGGATGTCTGAGACCGGGGTGTCAGTAGTGTTGGCTCCTTCTCAGGGCTACAGGGCAGAGTCTGTTCCTTTCCTGTCCCTTAGCTGCTGGTTTTTGCTGGCAAACTTTGGCACTCCTGGGCTTGTAGCAGTGTCACACTTGTCCCCACCTTTACGCTCTCATGGCATCCTCCTGTATGCACGGCTGTGTCCACGTGTCCCTTAAGGAGGACCCTGGTCACAATGGTTTCAGGGGTCATTCTACTCCTATATGACCTCATCTTCACCAGTTGCATCTGTAATGACCCCATTTCCGAATAAGGTCACATGCTGAGGTACTAGGGGTTGGGACTTCAGCAGATAAACTCTGGGGAGAGGATGTAATTCAACCCATGACCCCCCAAACACACACACAAAATAAAGTCCCTTGGACTCTGGTGTGGGAAGGTGACCTCAGCATAGCTGTCTGCTGCGAAAAATCCACATTCTCTTGTCCAAGCTCTTTTACATGTTAAACAAGAGCCCCCAGTGTCTCCTACACCTTCATCAGGAGCCATCTGTTGATCCTGTAGCACTGGGTGCCGCTGCTTCCCCTGCGTCGACACGGCCCCTGGGCAAGTTCCCCCTGCCAGGCCTCAGGGTCATCATCTGCAAGGTGGAAGTAATGGCAGCCCCTGCCCCATCCCACTCTGGAGAAACAACAAAACCCACAGCAGAGCTCAGCCTACGCCCTGCTCCTGCTGACTGCCATGAATGTGTGTCCCTGCAGGGAGCCATTCCAGGAAATCTGACTTGCGCTGGGAGCTGAAGGAGGCACCAAGATTTTCACTTGTGTTGCACACATGCCAGTGAGGAGCCCGGCCTCCCTGTGGGTTTGGTGAGTCTGCACTGACCAGTCAGGGGGCTCTGAGTCTGGGCTCTCTGACTCTGGGCTCTGTGACCATAAACTCTCTGGCCCTGGACTCTCTGAGTCTCAGCTCTCTGACTCTGGCCTCTCTGACCCTAAGTTCTCTGACCCTGGGCTCTCTGAGTCTGGGCTCTCTGACCTCTGGAAGGTCATGGGAACAGAGAGTGATGGTCCTCACAGCCCCAGGCTCAGGACAGGCTCCTCACCTGGGCCCTGCCCATCCTGCAAAGTGCCAGGAGAGGTTTGTACACTGCCCATGCTGGCTCTCGCCTCGGCTGGCCCAGGTGATCCCACCCATGCCATTGTTGGGGAACAGGTGTGAGGAGGCACCTAGTCCAAGGCAGGGCCTGGCCACCACGTAATTGGTTCTCTGAGCCTCACCTTCTCAGGTAAAGATGGGGTGCACAGGTCCCAAGAGCAGGTTTTAAGGATAAAGGAAGTTTCTGTGCTGCCTGACCTGATACAGTTGCTCTAAAGAGTCCCTGGAGAAGCGCACAGCTTCCAGAGGAAGGAGCTTTTTAGAGTTTTAGAAGAGTAAACCTCTCTCTCTCTCTCTCTCTCCACACGCACATACACACACACGCACAGACACACACACATCACACATTCAGACACACCCAGAAACATACACACACATACATGTCCACACACAGGCATGCACTAACACAAGAACACACATACCCACATGTGCACTTACGCTTTCATAAATACACGATCCTTCTCTCCATGCACACACACGATGCACACACACGATGCACACACACGATGCACACACAGATGCACACACATGCACAAACATGCCTTAGCTTGTTTCCATCCATCCAAAAATATCGTAACTTTCTAAAACCAGGGGACTGAAGTGCACCTTTAGCCCGATCTCTAGGAATACCATCTTCCTCTTAAAGCCTCAGCTGACGTCAGCAGGCTGGTGCCAGCGCGGATTCTGCTGTGCTCAAAGCAAGCACGTTCCAGTAAAGGCGGCAAGTGCTCCTCAGCCTGCATTACCATCTACCAAACGACAGAGTAGAATAAAATACTTTAATGTTTTGATGACACAAAGCCCCACGCTGCCCGGCTGCTCCTGGGAGGCTCCTCGGTCTGCCAGGGCTGGCACTCAGGCCCTTCCCTGCTAGCTTCTTGCCACACAGACCCACAAATGCCCTGCATTGCAGGCACCCCCCTCTGAGCTCCGACTTGGGCCCTCTTCAGTTCCCATTGGACCCTGATCTGAGCTGGCTCTGGAAATAGCTGAGAACCCAGAGGCAGGACGCAGGGGCAAGTGCTCAAGGAGGAGAGTCAGAGCCGAGAGGCTGCCACACCAAGACGTTGCCAGGAGCTCTGGCGGTGGCCACCAGGCCCAGCTAGTGCGCACTGGCCTCCAGCTGGGAGCCCAGTCTCGGGGCCTGAACCTGTGAGGGCTCCAGGCCACCCAGGCTCTGCTTCTGCCGCCGCCGTCGGGGCTGGACCCCCTTACCAGGGGGTCTAGGCAGCCCACCCTGCAGCTGCCGCACCATCTCGTGGTCCCTGTGGTCCAGCACGCGGGGCAGGAACAGGGAGGACTTCTGCGTGCGGCGGGTCTTGAAGCCCCTGCGGGGCCGGCCCTTGCCGTTCACAGACACGTACCACAGTCTCTCCGCGCTGGGCTGCCGCCGGGCCCCAGGCGTACTAGATACCGTCCGGTACAGCCGGGAGGCGTATGTGTTATAGCCCAGCTCGTGGATCCGCTCCACAAACTCGCACTCGGCGCTGTAGTGCTCCTGAGGGGATGAGATGTCACAGTCAGTGGCCCGGGGAGACTGCGCCAGCGTCAGGGCCCAGGGTTGCCCGATGCCTCCCTCCCCTCCTTTGAGGCTAATCGGTCCAGTGCCAAACCCCAGCGCACTCTCAGCCAGCCACACCTTTGCCTAGGCCTTGCCCTCTGCCCGGCATGCCCTTCCTCCCCTGTGTGCCTGGCGAACTTGGCCTTCTGCCCAAAGGTCACCTTCTCTCAAAGCTGTACCAAACAACTCCCAGCTCCTGCTCTCTGCCTTCCACCAGCCTCTGTCCCCCGTCTGAGGGCGCTGACCCAGCACAGGGATGTGTAGGGTTATCTGTGGAGCAGAGACCGGGCCAGCCAACCTAGGTGCCCTGGGGGTCTGCTGGCAGCGTGGACGTCAGCAAGGACTGGGCATTTGGACAAAGGAAGATGACAGCACCCAGATCGCTTTTAAAGAAACTACAGAGGCCCGGTGAGGTGTCTCATGCCTGTAATCCCAGCACATTGGGAGGCTGAGGCGGGTGAATCACCTGAGGTCAGGAGTTCGAGACCAGCCTGCCCAACATGGCAAAACTGTCTCTACTAAAAATATAAAAAATTAGCCAGGCGTGGTGGCACGCGCCTGTAATCCTGCTACTCAGGAGGCTGAGGCGGGAGCATCTCTGGAACCCGGGAGGCAGAGGCTGCAGTGAGCAGAGATTGTGCTGCTGCACTCCAGGCTGGGTGACAGAGCAAAACTCTGACTCAAAAGAAAAAAAAAAAAAAAGAAAAGAAATTGCAGAAAAGAAAAAAGAAGAAAGAACATGAAAAGCAGGAAGGGAAGGGGACACAGCCAGGTTTCATGAGCCCAGACTCTCCGTTAAACGCTGCACTCAGGGGTCCCAGCTGGGGTCACTGACCCCTGAGCAACACTCTCTGAAGCTGGAGGGTCCTGCCTTGCAGGTTGAAGAGGTTACAATGCAGAGCAGGGGCCGGGGCCTGGCATGAGGCACGTGCTCAATCAATGCCACAGATACTGCTGTTCTTAGGATGAGAGCAGAAGCTGGGGTGTCCCACCACAAGCAGGACAGAGAGGACACTGCTTTGTCATCAGAGATTAATGGGATCCTTGTCAGGCCCCGGGTGCAGTGGGGGAAGGGCAGAAGGGACCCTGCCCTCTCAAAGGCACAGTGAAGCTCTGAACTGAAGGAGCTTACACCAACATCCCCAAGGCCTGGCCATGGGAGGTTCCCTCCGGGGCTGCCTCATGGGGTCTTCTTAGTCTGTGGGATAGGGATGGGGTGGGTATGCCTTATGCAGACCCACTGGGCTTCAGTCCCAGCTACAGGAGGGTGGCAACGTCTAGGGCCACCTCCCTAAGGGGGTGACTGAGAGGAGCTGCTCCCTCCAAACCAGAAAGGGTGGTAAGAAGTGGAAGCAGCAGGTGCAAAGTAGACAGCAGGATCTCGCCTTCCTCCTGGGGACTGGCCACAGGGAGGAGTCGGAGGCCCTCATGGTCTGTCCCCATCTAGGGTGTGGTGTCCCATGGGAGAGAGGGAGAGTGGCAATGGCCTCCGGGGCTCCCAGGCTGGACCCAGCAGTATCTGACCCGGCAGGACCTCAGGGAACAGGATGCTTCAAGCGCCCCAACCTCTTTTCTAGTGACATGAAAGCCCAGAGCAGGGAAGGGTGGAAGGCTTGACCTGGTGGTAGGGGCTGCCTCTCCCCATGACCCAAAGCCCCCCTGCTCTCCAGCCCTCTTGGAGCCCCAGGGCCCCCTGGGTCACAGTATGGATGTTACTGTCCAAGACCAGTCTCCATGTTTATAGATGTGGAAATTGAGGCCCGGAGTGGTGCCAGGCCCTACATCACAGGGGGATAGAACAGTATCTGATCTGTGCCTGACCCCACATAGCCTGGGGCTCAGGGGCTATCTGGGAATGAGTGGGTGGGCTCAGGGCCGACTTCCCCACCCCACACACTGGGTACGCCATGTTAGTGTCTGGCTCCAAGCCCAGACTGTGAGAAGCTCAGGGCAGGACCTGAGCTTCCCCACGTCCCTCGATCCTGCAGCAGGTGCATCCTCTCAGGGCCAGAGAGGCCAGGCGGTAGGCTTTCTCTTTGCAGGGCCACTTAGGGGGTGGGCCACTGACGGACACGTGCCTATAAGCCTCAGGTGGCAGGGGCTCAGGCCCTCCTGAGGTGGGAGATTGGGGGCAGTGTAGATCACTCGCTGACACGAGGTAGGGCACCTGGGGCGGCCGAGATGATCAAGGCAGAAGGTGTCGGCTCAAGGATCGGGGCCGTAGACTCCAGAGCTGCTGCAGTTGGGACTTGCCGTGACAACGCTTTCCAATGTGCGTCCTGACACTGCCATCCCACCAGACCTGGTCCCACAGGCCCCTCCCCCAGGGCCGCTCCCACCCCATGACTCCAGACTCCAGAGCCACTTTGTTGAGGAGGTAGCTTCTGAAGAGAACTGGAAGGGCGGGGTGGGCACTTTTTAGTGGGCATTTTCTGGAGGAGGGCATTCCAGGCAGTGAGGGTGTGGCGTGAGCAGCATAGATGGCTTGGGAGTTGAGGGAGCTTCCAGAGGCTGGAGGAGGCTCAACCTTTGGATGACAGCCACACTGGGAGCAGGTGGCACCTGGGCTGCTGCTCTGTGGGTGGAGGTAAGGTGCCTGTGGGATGCCTGGGTGTGATGAGAGTCCTCAGAAGCCATGAAATGGGCTGATTTGCTTTTTTAGGAAGCCCCCTTAACATGTACCTAACAGAGTGCAACACACAGTAAGTTCCCAGGACACTGACTGGTGAATGAAGAACTGAATGTCAGATGAGTGGGTGGATGGATGGATGGGTGGATGGGTGGATGGCTGGCTGGCTGGGTGGCTGGATGGATAGTGGATGGATGGATGGATGGATGGATGGATGGATGGATGGATGGATGGATGGATAGGTGGCTGGCTGGATGGGTGGGTGGGTGGATGGATGGATGGATGGATGGATGGATGGGTGGATGGGTGAAAGGATGGAAGGAAGGAGGGACAATGGATGGATGGACAGGTGAATGGGTAGATGGACAGATGAACAGATGGAAGCATGGATGGAAAGAAGGATGAAAGAAAGGAAAGAAGGAAGGAAGGAGAGGTGTATGGACAGATGGGTGAAGAGAATGAAGGAAGGAGAAGGAAGGAAGGAGGAAAGGAGGGAAGAAGGGAGGGAGGGAGGGAGAGAGGGAGGGAAAGAAGGAAGGAAGGAAGGAAGGAAGGAAGGAAGATGAAAGGATGGCTTGACAAACAGATGGACTGGAGGTGGGAGAGGCTGGAGCGGTGATCCAGGTGGGAAGTGAGGAGTCTGCCTTATAAGGTGTGGTCTCGGGGATGAGGCAGAGGGAGGTGAGGTGCGTGGGCTGAAGAGATGCAGGGGCATGGTCTGAGGTCTAGGGATGGGCTGAACAGCAGGAGGGGTCTACCGTGACTCCCAGCCCACTCTGGGTGAGAGTGAGTGGCCAGTGGGGCAACGATTAAGATGGGGAGTCGGGGAGCTGCTGAGTTCGGTTGGAGAGTCTGAGCCAGCAGGACGTTGTGGGAGGGTGGTCTATACCTCAGAAGGGAGGTCAGGACCAGACCCAGGAGTGTCGGGGTGCAGTGCTCACTGGCCCAGAGGAATGAGCTGGCCCAAGGGCAAGCATGCTGCCAGCAAAGTCCAGGGAGCCCCATGGCGGGACAGCACTCCTAAGCAAGCTGGCCACATGCAGGACTGTGGTACCAGGTGGCAGGTGGCAGGCGATGGGATTGGCATCCAGGCTACTATGCCTCTCAGGTTGTCTTCAGGGCAGTGGGAACTTCTCCACTGGGCACTCTGGAAAGTTCCACACCCTCCAACCAGACTGCTTGGCTACCCCCAGCCTCAGCATCCCTTGTGGGGCTAGGAGCCTCTGTCCACCCTTCTCAAAGCCAGACTGCGAGCTCTCAGGCATGAAAGCCCCAGGTGGGCTCTGAACCACTGGGACCCCCTCATGTCATGCTTTATTCTGTCTCCCCAAATCCTGGGTCCCCTATGGCAGAAGCTGGCACCATGAGGGCCCCTGCTCCCAGACACAGCTTCCAGGACACTGATGAATGGACTGAATGTCAGACGGATGGGTGGATGGATGGATGGGTGAGTGGATGGGTGAATGGGTGAATGGATGGGTGGATGGGTGGATGGGTGGATGAATGGGTGGATGGGTGGATGGATGGATGGGTGAGTGGATGGGTGGATGGATGGATGGATGGGTGAGTGGATGGGTGAATGAGATGTGGGTGGATGGATGGATGGGTGAGTGGATGGGTGGATGGATGGGTTGGATGGATGGGTGGATGAGTGGATGGGTGAATGGGTGGATGGATGGATGGGTGAGTGGATGGGTGAATGGGTGGATGGGTGGATGGATGGGTGGATGGGTGAATGGGTGTATGGATGGGTGGATGAGTGGATGGGTGGATGAATGGGTGGATGGGTGGATGGATGAGTGGATGGGTGAATGGGTGGGAGGAAGGAGGGAGTGGCCTCTGGACCAGAGAAAATGAAGGGGTGCATTCCAGCTTTCTGGACCTTCCTTTATCAAAACGGCTAAAAATCTGTGATGAAATCATCGGCTTATGTGAGAGGGAGCTGCGCGGTGTGTCCTCTGTGCGCAGGACTGAGCAGAGAGCTCACTGCAGGGAGATCGTCCTCGGGCCGCGTCGGCTAGACTACTTGTGGATGGAAAACCTCTCATTGCCCAAGGAAGTATCAGCCAAATTGCATGTAATGACTAGTCGGAGGTAGCACATTTCCCCGTTACATGTATTTTACTCTGTGTATTCCCCAGCCCTACCCCTTATGAGGAGGGGCACTGCCATACCCGCAGAGTAAGGAGACCCTTTTTGGTTACACGGAGGCCCAGGCAGTAAATAGACTGGGTCCCAAGCCTGGGTTCCAAGGCTCCTGTGTGCCCGGGACATGGGCGCCATCTCCCTTCCCCTCCTAGGCTTCAGCTCTCACCTTTCCACCCTTGGAGGGAACCTGCAGAGCTGGCCCAGCGCCCTCCTCCCCATGCTCCCAGGAGAGCTCTGGCTGCCCCAAGGAACACTCCCAGGTTGCCTTGGGTCCATTTATTTTGGTGGAAATTTGGGGGACAATCACTTCCCTGCTCTCAGCTACTCTCAAGGGAGGATGGTAGTGATGACGAGGATGGGGGGAACCTTTGCTAACCTGGCATTCTCTAGATTCCAGGTCTGTCAGGGCGAGGCTCCAGGTCACTCACGGAGCAGCCTCTAACAGACACAGCCAATGATCACTGGGCGCGGAGCCCTGTGCCAGGGTCTGTTCCCAGCTCGGGTCCCATGTACCTGAGCAAAGCATTCTACTGCCCACATGCCCCATCTTCTGGTGTGATGTGCAGGCCAGACCACTACTCCCACAGCGCCCACCCACGGGACAGCCTGGACTCACCGAAGCATAGAGTCGTCCCCTCTTGTTCATGGCCAGGTACCGCCCGGAGAAGAGACCCCTGATGGCCACAATGCCCACCTCCACTGCCGTTATCTCCAGAATACCTGGGAGAAATGAGAGGTGCCTCACTCCCACCGCCCCCCACAGAGCCACGGAGCGGGCGGCTGATGCCCAGCTGGCCTTGCCCAAAGCCACACCCCGGGCTCAGGGCTGGGGAGGGTAGCACACAACCCACAGGTCACAGAGTGAGTGGAAGTTCAGGGAGGGAGAAGTCACCAGACAGGAGGTAGAGAAGGAGACCTCAGGGAAGGTTTGTTCTCATTCAAACCTGGGAGGGAAACGATGCAATTAACATTCCCACCCGCTGACGCTGCCCGCAGGATGGTTTCCATTCCAACCTCACAACATCTTGCCAGGTGCCTTCATCATCCGACAGACAAGCAAGTGGGGACCACTATGGCTGGGTGACTGTCAGGCCCCTGCACATGTGCCTGAGCGGGAAATCAAGCCCTCGCGGCAGTCATGAGAGTCTGAGCTCTGGGACTGCACGGTCCCCAATACCTGCGCCAGACAGCAGGAAAGCTGGGCCCTGATGAGCCAGGCTGGTAATAAAACCCACCGACAACAACACACAGGGTGCCTGCCACCCAAATCCTTCTGGCCGTAGACCTGGCGGGAGATCATTGTACCTGGAAGGGCAGGAAGCCGGTTTAGACCCTGGAGCCCGCAGAGGGAAGCTGGGTGGGTCTCACCCACTCGCCAGGGATAAGAAAGTTTAAATCTCCCCTCCCGCCTTTCCTTCTGGATACACGAGTGCAGTGGCGGAGGCTGGGGGAGGGGGACTGCATCAAAGGCCGGGTTGGGGTCACTGTCTCCCAACAGAGGCTGTGAAGGGATTGGGGCGACTGCCTGCACCCTCTCCAAGGGATGCCTCTCAGGACCGCGCTCCTGGCACGCGGTCCGAGCACAGCCGCGGTCGCCACCGGGCTTTTGCTCCAGCCCAGGGCTGCTACGGTGCAGGATGCGAGCCTCCCGCCTTCCCAGTGCGCAGGCTGGGCGGCCTCGGCGGTGACCGCCCGGGGGACCAACGAAACCAGAGTCTCGACGCAGGACGGGGGCGGCTGCGGGGGCGAGCCCTCCCCTCCCCCTGAGCAGCCAGCACCAAGAAGTTTGGATGCTGTGCGACTCGAGGGGGAGCCTGGCTTTGGAGAGAGCCGGGGTGTCTTTGTGAGACGAGTTCGGCACACTCGGACCCCCTGGTAACAGCTGGTGCCCACCGTGCGGCTCCGGAGGCGCGTGTCCCCAGGGCGCCCTCACAGGGCTACGGCTTTCCTGGAGGAAGCCGCGGTTTACTGCCGCCGCCACCTTCAATCCACCGCACCGCTTCCTGAGCCCGGGGCCGGAGCCGAGCGCCGCGCGGCGCACCAGAGGACCACTGTGGTCTTGACTGTCCTCCCACCCTCCCCACGCGGTCCTCCCGGGCCTTGAGCTCCGCTATCCTGCTCCTTAAAGGGCTCGGCGAGGGCCTCAGGTCCCTGTGACCAGAGGAGCCTAACCGTGTTGCCCGGCGGACTCCCGCGGTGAGCGCAGCCCGGGCCGCGGGTCCTGCGTGCTGCGGGGGAGGGTGTGTGTCTGCACCCCCAGGTAGGGGAGGACACCGCTCCGCGCTCCTGATCCGCGCGTCCCGACGGCGAGAGCCCCCACCCTCCCGTCGCTGTGCAGCCAGGGAGGAGGCGGGGGAGGTGCAGATTCCAGCGCGGGGAATAACTGTCGGAGGCGGCCGCGGCTGGGGAACCGAGCTCCGCAGGGCAAGAGTCCTCCGCTCAGAGGCAGCGGCTGGGGCGGCCACCTGGGCAGCCGCGAGCGGGGAGGGCGGAGGGGACGGCGGGGCGTCCAGGGGTCGGCAGGAGGAGGAGAAGTCGTCAAAATAATAAAGAGGATGATAAATGCCTTGTCCGGCTCCTTTTCTCCGACACATTCAAAGGGCTTAAACTTGTCAGAGCTGCCCAAAGCAGCAGAGCCGGGAGCCCAGGGGTCGCCTAGCTCGCGTCCCCTCAGACCAGCGGGCTGGACC